GTGGGTGCATGCAGGCCCAAGATCCCGAGAGGAGAATGGAGGAGAAGAAATTGCGGCGTGGCCATCCCCCCTGGGGAGTGATTTCTCGCCTTCTGTCTGTCTATCTCTCTCTGTCTGTGTGGCGAGTGAGTGCACACGCCCTATAGCAAAAACCTCTCAAAAAAATAAATCACCTCAGGGTGTGGATTCTCATCTTCATGTTCCTCTTGGGATTCTGGGCACACACACCTAGTTACCATTGGATCCAGGACTCAAACCACAATCGGCCATGTGGGAGTTAGCCCCTTAACCACCATACCACCTTCTGGCTAGCCTTTGCAAACAATTTTAAGAATAATTCTTGACTCACATGACACAGACCAAGCTCTTCTCCTCCCTGTCATGTTGTGAAATAGCTGAAGAACCCCATTAGAGGAGGGCCCTGGACCCAGACCTTCAAATCATGAGCTGAATAAACCTCTATTTTTATAAATCATAAAAAAGAGAATTCTTTGGTATCTAGTTTTGTTTGGTTTTGTTTTGTTAATTTTTGCCAGAGGGCATGTGCACTTGGGGGGGAGGGGAGGAAGAAAGTGCCTCCCAGTGGAGCGCGGCCACGCGGCAACCCTTTCTCCTCCGTTTCTTAGTCGGTTGGGATGTGGGGGCATGCACACACATGCACCCAGCATGTTTTTCAAGCCACCGGGTCTGGGACTCAAACCACGTGGTCATCCACGTGAGATCTGGCTCCCTTAGCCACTAGGCCACAGGGCCAGCTGTGGATATCCGGTTTTAAAACATTAAACCTTATTTTTATAAAAAGCCGGTGAGCTAGCATGGAGTGCACAGGACAGAGAATGGGGTAGACTGTGGACTGAGGTTGCTTCAGGGGAGACCCTCTGTTGAGGACTAACTTCGCATGCCTTCCCCCATGGCCTGATAAGAATAAAAATAGCCTATGTGATGACACTAGTAGGGATCAAGTTGCAGGGGCTTTTGGTCCTTATTCTTCTGGGCATAAACTGATCCCTGTGGGCGGGGCCGGACCTCTGGGATATAGTATTGCACGGTTAATTAATTCCTCCAAAGTCTTCAGCACCTCCATCTGAAAGAGGAGCTTGGGCCCCGGCAGTAGGCAGTAGAAGGACTGGGGTAGTCGGCTTTAGGTTGCGGATGGGGTGCAGGCAACCAAGGGCTGTGTGTGGCTCAGCAAGCTGGCGGCAGGCACGTCAGCGGAGCTTGTAGTGCGAGGCTGGCTCTCCCGACAGTACATCCAGCACAGCTGCTGCACAGTGTGGACAATTTTGCTCTCTAAGAAGTGGGGGTGGGGCAGGGGGCCCTGTGGGGTTGCCAGTCATCCGAACAAGACTAGATTCTGATCACCAGTGGGAACGTGCCTAGGCCTTTCCCCCATTCTTTGAGCGTGATGGTCCAAGTAGTCCCCTTGTCTTAATCCAGAGCTCTCCATTCCTTAAGCCTGTGAGCTGGCTGAGTTGGCCCTCATTTGGAAGACATGTTGCATCTTAGGGGAACACACCGGGGCTGCGGGTAAAGTTTTAGGTGCTGTCCAGAACATCCGAATCCATAAACGTGTCTTAGGCAGCTGCACAGATTATAATCTGAGGACCAGAATACGACTCTGGCCCCTAAGGAATTCACAGTCTACTAGAGTAGACAGAGAAGTGTAGAATAAACTCGATTAAAAGACAAAATGTCCTAAGCACATTTATTATTGTAAACACTCAAACAGTTCAGAAAGGTGTCAATCGAAAAATAAAAGTGCCAGTCTACCCTGAGCTCCTGTTCCTCTGCCAGAGAGAACCACAGTCGGTGTTTCCTTTGCATCCATTGAGAAGTGGGCTCTGTTAGCAGTACTCTCGGAGGAGTGCAAACCAAGTACCGCGAGACCACAGGAGATGGGAGGAGCGATCCGTTCCATTGCAGGAAGGCTTCACAGGCCATGTGGCATCTGAGCTGGGCCAGGAAGGAAAGAGGGATGGAGGGAGGGCATAGCATAAGCAAAGGCACCGAGGCATACGAGTTCAGGAAGTTCAGAAAGTCGGAACAGTCCTGTATCCTAACGCTGGTTGTTGGTGGGGTGGAGGATACTGTGTACGTGTGTGTGCGAGAAAGTGATTGGGTAGAGACTGGCCAACGAGGTCAAATAGGGTCATATTTGGAAGGTCTTGTATAATATGCTAAAGAAATTTGGAGTATTTTTCCTGGAGACTGGGGATCCATTGAAAACTGCTTAGGGAGGAGGTAGAAGGTTGGATTTTGTATTTAGAAAACTGATGGTAAGAGAGGATCCAATGAGAGTGGATAGGGATGCAAAAGAGTGACTCTTGGTGTAGACAAAGCACTTAGGCTGATGCAACATAGCCCAGGCCAGACGTGGCGAGGGCTGGGACCGGGACATGGAATGGTGGGGAGGGAGTACCCTGGAAGCTAGGACCACTGACACGGGGATGCAGTGTCTCTCCCTGGCTTAGGCCTGTACGTGGCTGGCCCTGCCTGCCTCTGCAGCACTCCTCCCAGGTGTCCCCGGGCTGCCGCCCAGTCGCCCAGTCGGGTGTGCTCTGCAGAGTCAGACTCGTTGTAACGTGAGCTCTGGCCCTACAGAAATGATGGTGCTGCTGCTGCTGGAGAAAAAACTCGTCTAATGCATTCCAGAGCCAAAGAGAAATGCCTTTTGGATTACCCGCAGTTTAGGCTTTTCTCCATGGCTCCCCCTCCACTGGGGACAGTCTTGGAGAACCAGGAGGCAGGGGAAGCAGAGTGAGGACAGAAAAGGGAAAGCAGACGGGGTTGGTGAGGGTGGGGGCAGAACCGGTCCCAGCAGATGGTAAATCCCAGGTCCCAGGGGTGCCTGCTAAGGGGTTCAGGTTTTGGAAAGGCCACTCCCCTCCTGCTCACTCTTTCAGGCATGGGTTGAGTGCTCACATTTAGCTGAAAGCTGGGCCAGGCACTGTAGGGGCAGGAGAAAATGCTCTCGGTTACCCCCAGGACTCAGCATGCTCCCAATGTGACCGGTAAGGGGTCACAGTGCAGACTGGCTTGGTGGCCCAAGCCTTGCTTGACTGTCCCAAGTGCTCCCCTACCACCTCCCTCACTGCCTTCCTTGCCTCTCCAGGCCCTGCAACTGGTTCCTCTTTACTGATGTCCTGAAGAGGCTGAAGCTGTCCTCGAGGATCTTTCAGGCCCGGTTCCCGCACTTTGAAATCGCCACCTTGCCCAAGGCTGAGTTCTACAGGCAGGTGGCCTCCAGTCAGCTGCTGGCCCCTGCCGAGAGGCCTGGTGGCATGGAGGACAGATCCCCACCAGGCTCCTCGGAGACTGTGGAGCTGGTGCAGTACGAGCCAGAGCTACTTCGGCTCCTAGGGTCCGAGGTGGAATTCCAGTCTTGGAACAGTTGACCTGGAAAACGGCCCCTCCCTTTTCTTCTCTCTCCTCCTGAGTTCTTCTCTCCCCCAACAGCCTCCCAGGTCTCTCCCCCATGAGCGCCAGACTGCAGAACGAGGCAATAATCCGGACCAGCGAGAAGCCGCCTTATCAATGCCAGCATTTGTGACTGGATTTTTGGTTTTCTGGTTACAGTTAGTTCTCATCTCCCTGTCATTGTCCTTGTTGTTGTGGTTGGTGATGGAGGCCTGGGGGGCAGGGGGATGGCGCCAGGGTCCCTTGGACTGGCCGGCCTCCTTGTGTATGATTGAGACCAAACCTGGGCCCTGGGTGGCCAAGGCCTGTCCCGAGGAGAAATAAGAAAAGTCCAAATCTCTGAGCACCCCCTTCGGTTACCCTGTGTCCTTCTGTCTTCCATAGTATTTATTTTATTAGTATTTAATTTGTATTGTTTCATTGGTTTCTGATGAGTCTATATCACTGTGACGATTTGAGACAACTTGTTGTACTGAGGGACTGTCGTTACCTCCTCTCTTTTTCTTTCTTGAGCTCTGGGGCTGCTCCCTCCCTCTGACAGAGTTATCCCCAGGTTGTTGTCCCCACTGGGGAGGGGCTGCTGGGGTGGGGGCTGTGGACTCGTGACTAATGAAGCTGGCTGCTGCTGGCCCAGCGCTGGGGGTTGGGGGTAAATCCCGAGGCTTTGGTGCCCCCCCCCTTCCTGCCAGTTTTTTTCTGTCCCACCCCCGCCCCGGCCCTGCCCTGCACCCTGCGCCCTGTGCCCTGCGCCCTGCGCCCTGTGCCCTGTGCCCTG